ACGGAGAGTTATTTGGAAGCGGTCACAGCTATGCGGGCAATGGTTCCTAGCACCGCATCCGTGCGTACTATTGTGGTAGACAAATGTGCGCAACAAATGAACGCTTTCAGGGAGGTGTATCCGGAGGCGTGCATGGTATTGTGCCGTGTCCACATGTTACGGGACATAAACCGACGGTGCAGTCACCTCTCAGTTGCGGACCCAGCGGAAAAGGCTTTCCTTATCCGTTTGTTGAGGAACCTGATTTTCACGCCTGAGGAGACGCGTTATCACGGAATCCTAGAAACCATTCGGCAGAGGAATACGGAATGTTTTCAGTATTTCCGTAGGACGTGGATGCCATGGTGGAGATGTTGGGCGGCGCATCAATTACGGCATGTGATGATGTTCGGATGCAATTCTACAAATCGAGTTGAGAATGAAAATATGCATCTTAAACGGACTTTGAGCGAGCGTTCCTCTTTACGTGCGCTTTTCGAAGTGATCGTTCATCGTGCGAAAGGTATGGCTGATGGTCATAGCACTCAGTTAGCGACGGAGTGCATGCGAAGTAATACAGTTGGCGGTGACGTATTTGTGGTTACGGAACTTGTAAGCAGAATGACGGCATATGCTCGGGAAAGGGTTATGAAGCATTTTCAGGGCAGGACTATTCTCGGAGTCCTGCCGGATGGGCCGTTCCGTTTGGTGTCTGAATCCGAGTCAGCTGTCTACCGCGTTTGCATACACCGAGGCAGTAACTGTGACTGCTCTTTCAATCGTCATTGGCGTATGCCTTGCGGTCACATATTGCATGTTGCGGCTGTGGAGAATCGCAATGCTGACGAGGTCCTTGAAGGATGTCGATGGTTGATTGATGCAGCGTTACAATCTGAAACGGCGCAGAACTTGGATTGCCGTCAATGTGAAACTATCACCCCAGGTGCACATACACACAGTGTGATTGACAGGCGCATAAAGATTCGAGGCTTACAAGAGGTGCTGGCGGAAATAGATGTGAACGTCCAAAGTCTGGGCTCAGAGGGATATCTGAAAGCTCTCGATATTTTACGTGCTTTCGGTAAGGTTATCTCCTCAAAGTTGGATTACAACATTCGGTGCGACACGTCCAAGTGTTCCGATAGTATACCGCTGTGCACGGCAAACATACCACGTTTATTGGGAGGTACATGTGAAACTGAGGTGCAAGTAATTGCCCCTGGCTCCGTTGAAATGTCGACCAACTTGGAGGACGTCGTTCGGATGGATGGCAGTCCGGATATCATTCCATGCCCGTCAACTTCTGCTACGGTGGTCAATGTGGTGAATCCAGGCATCGGAAACGTGCGCGCAAGGAACCTTTGATCTGTCGTGTTGTAAATCCTGCTCCCGGTACCAGCGCACTGAGCGAGACGAAATTCCGTCGGCTGCCGAAGACTACGACCGCGAAGTGCATAACGCAGAGCAAACCTGGTGCACATGGGAGTGCAAATGGCCAGGTTCCAACAACTGCTTGTGAATTGTGTCTGCAGGAAGAGGACTTTGGAACGCGTGGTAGCGATGTCTCCTGGGTGATGTGTGACAGATGCTCAAGGTGGTTCCATCAAACTTGCGCATCATATCATGGTGAGGATAAGTATGAATGCGTCTTCTGCAAAATGTAAGTTTCCAGGATTCAATGTAATGATTTAACACATTGCAGGTGAACAGGAGAGAACAGCACCGGCGTTTGCAATTGGAAGCCATTTGCGCTACATTTCATTCCCGAATGTCCATGACACTGTTGGTAAGTTTCCTTATTTTATGATAACAACGATTTCATGTTCCTTTGGTTTACGTTGACTTCAGCTAGCGTAGGTGTCTTAATGCAGCAGTTACAGCATCATGTCCGCTTATGGTAACAGAACGGCATTGTATGGGCATTTTCATCTTGCTGACGCGTTATGTTCTGTACAAGTGAAAGCTTAATCATCATCATGTAACCTTAGTTCCTTGGAAAAAAGTAGCAGTGTCATCAAACGTTTTGTGACACTGCTACGATGAAATTAAGCTGCTTCAAAACAGCTTAGGTACGTTAAGCAGAAGGGCGCGGTTCCCACAACTATCATCCGGTCACTATTCCGCAAAAATTCCACTTTCAGTTCCGCCGGGACTGGAAAGATAGCATAATCCCTTTAGTGCTCCATTTTCCAGTAAATCTTTGCGCCAGTAAATCATGCAGTGTTCAGTTATTGATGGATCTGAAATGGAACACCCGTATGGCACCCTGATCAACCATTTCATGCCCAACTGTACAGCCTTAGCTGTCCCTGCTCTGTTAGTCACGTGAATTAAGCCCCAGATAGGCAGAGAAATGGAAGGTACAGAATAAAGAATTGCACTTTAAATAAGAAAATGATACCAATGGGTTAAGATACAACAACAGCAGTACATCAGCCATTTGAACTGATGCTTCGCTGCCATACAATCATGAGGACCTATGAAATAAAGAATAAGAAGAGGGAGAGAAGGGCGACTTATCTGAAAACCTTAATGCCCTAAGCAAACATTCAGGGTCAAGGCGCCTACACCTTGTGTAGACAACATTCCGTCACAAACAGCTGGTTATCGTGCAAAGATAAGGCGGCATCGGTGAGACAGCTTCCTTGCGGCTTTCACTGCTCCGCGTCATAATCAGCCATTACCCCGCAGATAACTCAGCACCAAACACACTTTAAACAGACAATCCGATTAGGAGACGGCAGCAGACGCGCCACTGGTGTCGGTTGCGAGTCATGTCCTGTAAAGTCTCAAGCCAAGCACAAGGTGATTCACGTGGACTCCAACCCGGAAGGCGAGACGGACCAACAGCGCACAGTTTAGTAGTCAGTGACTTCATTTCCCGCTGCCAAGTCAACTTCTGTCCACCTCGAGTCTTGCGTCATCCTACACCTGGTAGACTGAACAAGGCCCTCCTAGGTAAGCGGTGACCAGGCATGCGTAGCACGTGCCCGAGCCAACGTAACTTATTCAATGCTATCTGTGGTTCTAGGGAGCTAGCATGACTATCACCACCTAGTACTCGCCTACGCACATCATCGTTGCGGACACGCTGGTGCCATCCGACACCAGGAATGCTTCGCAAACAACGATGATCAAAGACTTGAAGGCGCCTCAGATCTTCAGACCGAAGGGGCGAAGTTTCACTATCATAGAGCAGAACGGCCCTCACTGTGGCCTTGTACACACAGCCTTTCAGACGGAGGGAAACTCCCTTCTGTCGCCAAAGATGACGCAGGTTTAAGAAGTCAGCTCTGGCCTTTGCAATGCGTGAGCTCACGTCAGTTTCTATGCGTCCATCATTGCTGATGCAGCTGCCACGATAATTGAATTGATAAACCACCTCGGGTTCTTCGTTAGCAAGGATCAAGGGGTCATCAAGTGGCTGGTGGTCCTGCAGCAACACTTTGCACTTTGAAGGTGCGAAGTGCATACCAAATACTGGGACCACTCTGGATAGGCTATTCAGGGTTGATTGTGCCGCCTCAACATTGTCGAAAGCAAGACGATATCGTCCGCATAATCTAGATCAACTAACCTTTCACCAGGCAGCACTTCAATGCCTTCATCGTGAGATTCCGCAAGGAAATACTCCATGATAGAATCCACGACAAAATTGAACAAAAACGGGGAAATCGGACAACCCTGACGAACGCCACTTGTAGTCGAAAAGCTATCCGATAGGGCACCGTAGACCCTGACGCGGCCTGTAGTGTTCGAGTATATAGCACGAAGGATGTTCACAAATTTCGTGGGAACATCTTTTCGCGCAAGTATTTCAAACAGAATCGATCGATCGACTGAATCGAACGCACTCTTGAAATCGAGGAACACAACTATTGTCGGTCTGCGGTATGCGTGGCGCTGCTCTAGCACCTGACGCAAAGTAAATATATGGTCTATATAGCCACGCCCTGGGCGGAAAGCGGCCTGCTCTTCCTTAATCCGGGATTCCCGTTCTGCAGTGAGGCGACGAACGATAATGGAGGCCAGTAATTTTGTCAAAACTGGCGTTAGGCTGATACCCCTGTGGTTAGAACAGTCTGTGCGGCTTCCCTTCTTTTATATAGCCACTATAATCGATTCGCTCCAATCAGCTGGGACACTTCCTTCCAGATGCGTTCGAATAGGGAGGTCAGTGCTTGGAGATGACCTTACTTCCATCCTTAAATAGTGCAGGTGTGAGGGAATCCGGGCCAGCGGCACGAAAACGGTTGAGGGCTGTGATCGCCTTTCGGACCTCGGCCTCCGACGGAGGCTCTAAACTAATTGTCCATGGCACGTCCTGCATCACTTGAGTAGGAAGAGGTCCTGGAGCAGGGGGCCAGCTGAACTGATCTTCAAAGTGTTCGGTCCAATGAGCCATACGACACTCCTTATTGTGTATCAGCGTACCCGCGCTGTCTCTGCTTGTCTCACTGACGCCTGGTTTTCTGGGACCAGTGGTGCGGATTAGCTGGAAGAGCTTGCGGTAATTGCCTACTGCTCCTTCCTCCTCCATTTCTTGATCCCTACTGGTCCACCAGGCTTCCTTGTCAGCACGTAATCATCATCATCCTCATCAACAGCAGTACATCAGCCATTTGAACTGATGCTTCGCTGCCATACAATCATGAGGACCTATGAAATAAAGAATAAGAAGAGGGAGAGAAGGGCGACTTATCTGAAAACCTTAATGCCCTAAGCAAACATTCAGGGTCAAGGCGCCTACACCTTGTGTAGACAACATTCCGTCACAAACAGCTGGTTATCGTGCAAAGATAAGGCGGCATCGGTGAGACAGCTTCCTTGCGGCTTTCACTGCTCCGCGTCATAATCAGCCATTACCCCGCAGATAACTCAGCACCAAACACACTTTAAACAGACAATCCGATTAGGAGACGGCAGCAGACGCGCCACTGGTGTCGGTTGCGAGTCATGTCCTGTAAAGTCTCAAGCCAAGCACAAGGTGATTCACGTGGACTCCAACCCGGAAGGCGAGACGGACCAACAGCGCACAGTTTAGTAGTCAGTGACTTCATTTCCCGCTGCCAAGTCAACTTCTGTCCACCTCGAGCCTTGCGTCATCCTACACCTGGTAGACTGAACAAGGCCCTCCTAGGTAAGCGGTGACCAGGCATGCGTAGCACGTGCCCGAGCCAACGTAACTTATTCAATGCTATCTGTGGTTCTAGGGAGCTAGCATGACTATCACCACCTAGTACTCGCCTACGCACATCATCGTTGCGGACACGCTGGTGCCATCCGACACCAGGAATGCTTCGCAAACAACGATGATCAAAGACTTGAAGGCGCCTCAGATCTTCAGACCGAAGGGGCGAAGTTTCACTACCATAGAGCAGAACGGCCCTCACTGTGGCCTTGTACACACAGCCTTTCAGACGGAGGGAAACTCCCTTCTGTCGCCAAAGATGACGCAGGTTTAAGAAGTCAGCTCTGGCCTTTGCAATGCGTGAGCTCACGTCAGTTTCTATGCGTCCATCATTGCTGATGCAGCTGCCACGATAATTGAATTGATAAACCACCTCGGGTTCTTCGTTAGCAAGGATCAAGGGGTCATCAAGTGGCTGGTGGTCCTGCAGCAACACTTTGCACTTTGAAGGTGCGAAGTGCATACCAAATACTGGGACCACTCTGGATAGGCTATTCAGGGTTGATTGTGCCGCCTCAACATTGTCGAAAGCAAGACGATATCGTCCGCATAATCTAGATCAACTAACCTTTCACCAGGCAGCACTTCAATGCCTACATCATGAGATTCCGCAAGGGAACACTCCATGATAGAATCCACGACAAAATTGAACAAAAACGGGGAAATCGGACAACCCTGACGAACGCCACTTGTAGTCGAAAAGCTATCCGATAGGGCACCATAGACCCTGACGCGGCCTGTAGTGTTCGAGTATATAGCACGAAGGATGTTCACAAATTTCGTGGGAACAACCTTCCCGTGAAAGTAATTCGAACAGAATCGATCGATCGACTGAATCGAACGCACTCTTGAAATCGAGGAACACAGCTATTGTCGGTCTGCGGTATGCGTGGCGCTGCTCTAGCACCTGCCGCAAAGTAAATATATGGTCTATATAGCCACGCCATGGACGGAAACCGGCCTGCTCTTCCTTAATCCGGGATTCCCGTTCTGCAGTGAGGCGACGAACGATAATGGAGGCCAGTAATTTTGTCAAAACTGGCGTTAGGCTGATACCCCTGTGGTTAGAACAGTCTGTGCGGCTTCCCTTCTTTTATATAGCCACTATAATCGATTCGCTCCAATCAGCTGGGACACTTCCTTCCAGATGCGTTCGAATAGGGAGGTCAGTGCTTGGAGATGACCTTACTTCCATCCTTAAATAGTGCAGGTGTGAGGGAATCCGGGCCAGCGGCACGAAAACGGTTGAGGGCTGTGATCGCCTTTCGGACCTCGGCCTCCGACGGAGGCTCTAAACTAATTGTCCATGGCACGTCCTGCATCACTTGAGTAGGAAGAGGTCCTGGAGCAGGGGGCCAGCTGAACTGATCTTCAAAGTGTTCGGTCCAATGAGCCATACGACACTCCTTATTGTGTATCAGCGTACCCGCGCTGTCTCTGATTGTCTCACTGACGCCTGGTTTTCTGGGACCAGTGGTGCGGATTAGCTGGAAGAGCTTGCGGTAATTGCCTACTGCTCCTTCCTCCTCCATTTCTTGATCCCTACTGGTCCACCAGGCTTCCTTGTCAGCACGTAGGCTCCGCTTTATTTCACG